CTAAACCCCTATAAACCCTAAACACCAAACCCCACGCCCTACCTGAAGACCCTGCTCTGCAGCCGGTTCTTCCACAGCCCACACAACGGCTTGGCAAACCGAGCATAACGTCCCCGGTTAGGGTTTAGGGTTGAGGGTTTAGGGTTTAGGGCCGTCGTGGCAAAGATTGATCACTGAGTCCAAAGGCTCCCCCGGAAGTGCGTGCTTCAAGCGCCAGCGCAAACCGACGTTGTTCAAGAAAGCCGCCTTCCTGTGCTCCAAGACGTGTCCTTGTCGATCTCAGGTTCGTCCACGGGCTTGATATTAAATATGCTCTAGTAGCTCTAGTAATAGTATATCTCAAAACTCTTTCCAAATCAACCCCGCGTGAAGGCTCTAGTACCGGTGCAATTGGCCGAAAAGGGCTCCAAAGTTTAAGGGTTGATGAGGTGATTGAATTCCGCCAATGTCGTGTAAAGCCCGATCTGCTAATGCCCCTGTTAGCTTGCTACGGTTTAAAGGTTTCATAAACATGCAACGGGAATCACAGCCTCCACGTTCGTCCAATCTTCTACGACACAGCGGTGCCTGGATTCAGAAGCTTGCTTGAATTTGGGTAATTCACTAGATTCGGGTCCCTTTGAGGGTCCGACGTGTTAGGGTGCTGATTTGTAACGGGTTCAAAGAAAGGGAGGACTACCCATTTGGTGTTGAAATATTGAATTCTCAGAGTTGGCCTCCCAGCTGGATGTGACACAGTTAGCGCTCGAGCGCAGACACGAACATCCCAAGCATAAACTGAGATACGGCCCCAAAAAGCACAGAAGCAAACATGAGGATAGGGATATCCCGGATAAGCCCTTCATAGCGAAGCCCAAGAAGGTAGGGATATCCCTGTAACATGCTTATGTCCTTCTGGCTCCCGAATAAGATGGCCCACTTGAAGACAAAACCTGACTTAAAGGAAGCTACAGGTGGGGAGTTTAGGGTATATGGGGCTTCTATTATAAGTTATAGAAGCCCTATATACCTTTAAGGCTTCCATAAGGTATATAGACCTTCTATAAGGCTCCTATAACGGTAACTACCCACCTGAAATTTCCTAGACTCAAGGGGATTTCCCAAGTTAGCAAAGGATCTGTAGTACAGAACCTACGCCAAACCATCCTCGTGAATGTAGGGGCTTTAATGATTAGAATAGGGTGCTGGCGTGTATTATATTATAACTATAATAATACTAAGGACCCCCGCAAAATAGTTTTTGTAACTATACCAGTAAGGACCCCCCAAAATAGCGTAGGTAATTGGTTAGGCCCCTATATTACAAAGGATACATAAGTCCTAAGGACACTAAGAGGAGCCCTGTAGGAGTTGCAGCACCAGACAAGTCCCCCCCGGCAAGGCTTCAGCACGTCGCCTAAAGCCCTTACGCCAATTGTAAACCCTAAAGCCCCGAACTTCAACCACGGCACCCCCAAACCCTAAACCCTAAACCCCCAATTGTTGCAAACCCGAAGATCCTGCAGAAGGCGGCCTCAGGGTGACAACCGCATTCGGGTTCTTCTCCACAGCCCAAACTCGGATGTCTGCACCTCCGCAGCATGCGTTTGCTCTATACGCGGGCCCTGTAGGGCCGGCAAATAGAGCCGCAATTTATCGAATTCGGGGAGCTGCAGGCAACAGGAACCACAACAAAACCCACATGCGGGCCACGCTTTTCAATCAGAACTCGCTCCAAGCGGCCAAACACCCGATTCTCGACACATGATGCTCTAGCCCAAACACATCTCTCATCCGTACACACACACATATATAAATATATTTACTTATTTATTTATTGATTTGTTTATTTCTCCATACACATTATATTGTCACACTAACTTCTAGATTACATATATATATATATATATACATAGTTAAATGCATATATATATGCACACATACACACACATATACATACATACAT